GGGGAGGGAGGTTAAGTGTCCCTGTGTGGCTGTGTTCAGGTAGACAAGTCTGAGAGACTTCCATCTCTGTGATAGTCAAGCTGGATCATGGGGGCTTGTACCTGTCTTCCCAGGGAAGATGGGATGGCTATCACAACAGGAAGTAAGGCTCTATCCTGAAAATAGCCAGTGAAAAACAAGATTGGAGGCATAGCTCAGCAAATAGTTCCATAGTTTCAGCCTGTTAAGATTGAGGCTCTGAGTTCAAACCTCAGTAGTACTACCCCCCCCCCAAAAAAAAAGAAAGAAAATAGATACATTTAAACTTTGAAATGGCCATAGTTATTAAGTAAAAATTAAATGTCCAGGCTGCCCCTGTGCTTGAGATGTCAAGTATATCTTTGTGCCCAGTGATGGCACAGAGGGATCTTGTGACACATTCTGCTTGGGCTAGCCAGAAACGACAATACTCTGGTTCTTAGACTACCAAGTAATTAGGATTACAGTGGCACTAGCCACAGGTGGCTTGTTATTTGGATAATGTTAAAGTGTTATATAATTTCCTGTTTGCACTATTTGAATGACATGGGTAGTTTTCAAGCTAATCCTCTTCCTAGTATGTCAAGGAGATGGAAGGGAAGCATGCTGGAGTCCTTACTCTGTGCCTGGATATTGTTAGCACTCAGTAGCTATGTGAGCCAGTGTCCATATGAACGCATGGATTTGCTTCGCAGGGTTTCTCCAAAGAAATTAAAATACCCAAAACCAAATATGTTGGCTACATCAAGGATTATGAAGGAGCCACCTTAATGGGATGTGAGCTGAATCCTCGGATTCCATACACAGAGTTCTCTGTCATCATTAAAAAACAGAAGGAGGTACGAGTTGACTGAGCTTTATATCCGAGGTAGATGGTGTTTCACTGGGTTCCATGTATGTTTATCTAATGCTATCATAATCTGTTTGCCTGGCTCCTTTTTGGGTCATTAATCCTAAGAGAGTCAACCGAAAATGTAGAATGTACAATGATACGTTTTATCATTTCCTGCCAAAGGCTTTTACATTCTGGCCTCAATCATCCTTCTCCTTCCCTCTATCTTCCTCTCCCTTCTCCCTCTTTCCCTGTCTCCTTTCCTTCTCTCTTCCTTCTCTGACTTTGTCTGTCTGTCTGTCTGTCTCTCTTTCTTTCTCCCTCTCCCTCTCTCCTTCTCTCCCTCTCTGTCTCAGCTTAGTTCAGCTTACATTGTTATACAGAAGATTTCATTGTTCTATTTCCACACATATTTATAATATATTCCACTCTAACCCCCTTTGTCACTCTCCCTCCCCCTTTCCCAAAACAATTCCCGCAGCCTTTACTCCTCTATTTTCATAGTTGCAAATGATCTGCTTCAACTACATCCATATTTCTCTATTGAGCAATAACTTTTTTATTGAGGATCTTTGTGCTGTTTTCATGTGTACTTACAGTGTATTTCAAAATTATCCATCCTCTTCCCTTTCCACCTCTCTTTCCCTTCTCCTCCTAAGTAGTCCCTTAGACTAAGGTTCTATATTTATCTATAAATATGTAATAATCTATATGAGTATATATGTATATGTCCATGAGTGTGATATCTTTCAGGTCTAGCCCCCCCACATAGGAGTGAGTGAAAACATATAGTATTTTGTTCTTTGAACTGGGCCTGTCTCATTCAATATTCGATTATACATACCTCTTTCCCCTCATCCTATTTGAATTCTCCACAGGCCATGCTGACATTCACCCTCTTGCTGCCCACCCTTTTCTCCAGATATGCAAGGCCCTGCTCTGCTCTCTTCAACCCCTGCTTCTACTCTTCCTGTTTGGGTTCTAATTATTCACCTTCCATGGGCATTACTTCAAGTTCTGAAGGCTTCTCTTTAGATATCTGAAGTGATTTGTGATTTGACATCTGAGTAATGTGTTTCATGCATCTTGAACAATGAAAGAAAGAGACATAGGCATTTTAAATTTTCCAAAAGCAGAACAAATCAAACCCAAGTAACAACGTAAGAAGAGTCCGCATTTGTTAGGAAATGAATGCACATTTTGGTTTATTCCCAGTACCAGGCTGGAGTTTAGTTTGTTGGTGTTCAGGAATCAGGGAGTGCATTTGAACTTACTCTTCTCTTGCAAATTACCAAAGAAACACATCTGTCTTCGGCCTACCTTTTCTTCTTGTTTTCTGCAAATATCCTTAATCCTGGTTCTTAGTAGCTTAGCGACTGGTCAGGTTTTACCCACATTCACAGCCAACAAGCTTGTTATTTGATTTGATTTGTTTTCTTTGATTGACAGCAGCTCAAACTTGTTTTTCTGCTTCTATAAACATGAGCAAATTGGCATTTTCTGTTAAATTAGGAAGTTAAAACAAATTTTCTTTGTCTTGGTCACAGAACCTAAAAAAGGATTCCAAAGAGTGAGTGTTTGGAAGAGTTAAGGAAACACAGCAGGCTCCTCTCTGGCCTGCTCTCTCTGAAGAGCTGGCTTTCCTCATTGTTCTCTGGGGCTTAATGAGCGGCTGTGGCAATCGAGGCTGCTGGCCAACTACAGCCTTCACTGCGCTGTCAGCTGCTCTCTGCCCAATCCTGCCCAGCAGCAATTCAAACCCCAGATTAGCTGAGCACAGGAGTCCCCTGGCAGAGTGTATAAGCATTCATTGATGCTGAGATTTATTGGCCCTTCCTACCTACAGGGTGCACAGAGCTCACAAAGCATTCAGCCTTTTAGAAGACAGGGCTCCCTCCCCCTTTTCTCTCCTGATGGCTCTTGTGCTTTCTCAATCTCTCTCTCTCTCTCTCTCTCTTTCTCTCCCCCTCTCCCCCCCTCCCTCTCTCCCTTTCCCTTTCCCTCTCCCCTCCCTCTCCTCTTCCTCTCTCCTTACCACTTTCTCACAGCCATCACTGAATGGCTTCTGGAGGTTTGGCGCTGTTAACCTAGTTCCTTTACAGGAAATCTGAACTTATCATCATAAAATGGATGCAGGGACAAATTATTCCTTATCCAAAATTATTTGTGTGATGAGAAGTAGCTTAGATTTTGGAATTTTTAGAATTTGGAACAAAATACCAGATTGAGTATCCCTGTTCTGATAATCAAATTTCTTATTACCCACCCCCCCCAAACATTTACTGGAAAAAAAAGAAAGAAAGAAAGAAAGGGATTAACAGTGGCAGTAAACAGCCTGAGCATAGTGGCATACAAGGACTAACCAAAGCTATGTAGTGAGATCCCATTCTGAAACAAACAAATAGACCCCCCCCACACACACACCTCCCAGGGGAGGCTAGGGATATAGTTCTGTGGTAGAGTCCTTGCCTGGCATGTACAAGGCCTTGGGTTTGATTCCAGGTACCACCACTACCACCACTACGACCAGCACCACAAGAGAAGACAGACTTACAAAAGTCAATGTTCACCTAGAGGAGTAGGAGTCACTAGCCACATGTGGCTACTGAGCATTTGGTCTGTAACTAGTCAGAACTGGAATGTGATGTAGTAGGCCTAGAATGCTCCAACTTCTAAAGACTTTGTTAGGAGTAAATGAATGTCAAGTACCTCTTAACTATTGTTATGTTAATATTTTTGACATTGAGTTCAATGAGTGATGTATTATTATTAAAATCAACGTCACCTGTTTCTTTTTACCATTCTAAAACATGGCTATTAGAAAAAATTTTAATTAAAAATTAAATGAATAAATTACACGCGAATTTATAATGCAGTAGGAATTACAGTATCTATTTCTAATTGGATAGCACTAATCTTGATTTACCAAGGGTGCACATTTACGATTGCTAGTCATTTGGGGAAGTTGTTGTTTGACAGATAGGACTGTAAATTCATTCTGCAGTGATCACCAGCCATATGTAACTAGAAGAAGAACTGGTGTTCCCTGCCCCCCCCCCCATTATGAATTGAGTAGTGACTTCTATTGTTTTGCAATTCTTCCCTCAAGTTTAGATATGCTATGATATTATGATATGTTATAGGTGGTAATTATTGAGGAGTTTTTATTTTTTATTTGAGACAAGGTCTAGCTATGTATCCTAGGCTGGCCTTGAACTCACCATCATCTAGCCTTAGCATACCAAGTAATTGTGTGTGTGTGTGTGTGTGTTGTTTTGTTTTTAATTTTATTTGTGTCAGTCCTAGGGCCTTGAACTCAGGACCTGGAGGCTGTCCTTTAGCTTTTTTGCTCAAGGCTAGCACTCTGCCACCTGAACCAGCCTCAGTTCCACTTCCAGCTTTTTTGATGGTTAATTAGAGATAAGAGTATCATGGACTTCCCTGGCCCTGCTGGCTTCTAACTGTGATTTTTCAAATCTCAGCCTCCTAAGTAGCTAGGAGGCCTGAGCCACTAGCATGGCTTCCCTGAGCTTTGATTCTCAAGGCTAGCCCTCTACCACTTGAGCCATAGTTCCACTTCCTGCTTTTTGGTAGTTAATTGGAGGTAAGAATTTCTTTAACTTTCCTGCTCCACCCTGGCTGGCTTCTAACAGGGTCCTCAGATCTCAGCATCCTGTATACTTACCGTTAAAGGCATGAGTCACCAGCTCTCCAGTGTTTCTGTTTTTAAAGGAAAACTGTAATGTCTTTGGAATTACTTACCTAAGTTACTTTAGGATTGTTTATAAACTAAAGAAAACAGCTTTCTGAAGTTCTGAATGAATCAAGCATTTCAAGTAACCTTTGAATGGTGCTCAGTAGATAGTACTTTAGAACAGCTTTCTAATGAGAATAGCATTCATGGGGGCTCAGCCTTCAAAGATCCTCTTCTCCCTTCTCTTCCCTTCTTCCACCCCCCTTCTCCCCCCTCCTCCCTTCCCAGTTTAAATAATAGCAGGTTATACGTTTTCCAGAGTTCTGGGCATTTCTGAGGTCTCCTCCTGTCTGAAAGGGATAGTCTCCACTATGGGGGGTGGGGTGAAGAAGTTCTTTCCCTTGGACAGGTGCTGCCAGGAACACTCAGCCCTTCTGAGCCTGGCTCCTCAGAGAAGCAGAGCAAAGTGGTGGGTTCTTGTGCCCAAGAGAAGTGAAGTATAGGGCAATGCGTTCTCAGCATTAACTTGCTTTGTTAAATAATTTTTTACTACCATATGTTTCCTTGTGGCCTTCCTGCACATGTATACAATGACAGAGTGCTCACATGCTCCTTGCTAGTACTCTATTCTCCTACACTCCTTTTTAAACTTCTCACAATTGCTTTTATTAGTGTTTATTGATTCCTTTTACAAAAATGTGTTCTAAATTATAGTTAACATGAATTGCATGAATCAGAGGGTTTCACCATAAGTAGGCAAGTATCATGCTTTATACATGAACACACTCTCCTTTCCAACTTGTCGCCCCTCCCCTCTTCCCTAAGCGCCCTGGTCTGTATATCAGGGCCCAGTGTTTCTGAGATCTGTATAAAAGAATGTCTTCATTTCTGACCTGTTCAATAGCATTGATCCTTTCCTGCCATTTTGTACCATGAAATACTCTTGCAAGGAGAATGTTTTTTTCAAGTTGCTGACTTGAACTGTGTCATTGCACAGACTTCTTTCACTAAACATATTTTATTCCTGTACTTTACAGATAATTAAAAAGCTGATAGAAAGAAAACAGGCCCAGATCCGAAAAGTCTACCCTGGCCTTTCATGTTTTAAAGATGGAGTTCGACAGATTCCTATAGAAAGCATTCCTGGAATTAGTATGTATAGACATTCTTTTTAATAAACTTAATCTTTTGGAGATGTCAGAAGTTGTATTTGAAACAATTTCATTTTCATGTGTGTTATTTCTAGTCTTAAAAATTATTACCATTAGCCAGGTGCCAGTGGCTCGTGCCTGTCATCCTAGCTACTCAGGAGGCTGAGATCTGAGGATTGCAGTTTGAAGCCAGCCTGGACTGCAAGGTCCATCACACTCTTACCTCCAGTTAACTGTCAGGACTGACACTAACCATCAGGAAAACTGGAAGAGAAGCTGTGGCTCAAAGTGGTAGAGCACTAGTCTTGGGGCACAAAAAGCTCAGGGACCGTGCCCAGGCCCTGAGTTCAAGCCCCATGATGGAAAAAAAATATTATCTTTAAGTAGTTGTACAAAGGGGTTTCAATTCAATCTGCCAGGTTATGAGTAAAATGCCATCCTGATCAGTGGTACCCTTTCCATCATTTCTAATCTTTAAGAAGGCAGCAAGCTGGGCATGGCTATATAATCCCAACCCCCTGGAGGCGGAGACAGGAGGATTGTGAACTCAAGAATAGTCTTGGGTTTATATAATTAGACCTTGTCGTCAACAAACAAAGAAGAGGTAGCAAATGCCTCCCTTTTAATGTCCTTTTTCTTCCAACTCCAACAAATCAACGAAAATCCCTTCTTGTTTTCACTATTAATACCTACCCTTTATTAAGATCTTAGCATTTGTAGCACACTACTGGATGCTAGCAACACGGAACATGGAAAACCACAGAACTATACATATACAAATGGGGAAACTGAGTCTCAGAATGGTTAGCATTTAATTTTAAATGACTCATTACAGGTAATGGATGAGTTGTACTGGTTGAGCCATCTAAATTAGCTATTTCTTGTACATCAAAAGCTATTGAATATCATTGGAACTTTTACTTGATTCAAATCCAGCTTCTAGTAAAGATTTAATAAACTAAACAAAACCAGACAAAATTCTCCAGAGAGGGGCTGGGAAGGTGGCTCAGTGGTAGAGCGCTTACCTTGCATGCCCGAGGCCCTGGGTTCGATTCTTCAGCACCACATAAGCAAAAAGAAAAAAGCCGGAGGTGGCGCTGTGGCTCAAGTGGTAGAGCACTAGCCTTGAGCTGAAGAGCTGAGGGACAGCACCCGGGCCCAGAGTTCAGGCCCCACGACTGGACCCCCACCCCCCAAAAATTACCTTATTATATCTTTCCTTATTTTCACTGCTCAACTATAGTCATTTTTATCCCTACTAATGGTATAATAGTTATCCTATTATTATGATCTTGGGCCAAGTATTTTTTCCTTCCTTCCCTTCTTTCCTTCTTTCCTTCCTTCCTTCTTTCCGTCGTCCTTCCTTCCTTCCTTCCTTCCTTCCTTCCTTCCTTCCTTCCTTCCTTCCTTCCTTCTTTTCCTTCCTTCCTCTCTCTCTCCCTCCTTCTGTCCCTCCCCTCCTTCACTCCCTTCCTTCTTTCCTTCCTTGTACTGGAGCTTGAATTCAGGCCCTGTTCGCTGTCACTTACCTTTTTTGCTCAAAGCTAGTATTATACCACTTGGGCCACAGCTCCACCTCTAGGTTTTTGGTGACTAATTGGAGATAAGAATCTCATTGATTTTGCTGCCTGGGTTGGCCTCAAACTGCAATCCTCAGATCTCAGCCTTCTGACTAGCTAGGATTACAGACGTGAACTACATTATTTTTATTATGAACTAATTTCAAAAGGGATAATATCACTTAAGTTTTAGAATTTCATTTTATAGCTTGGTAGCCTGAGATATAGGAGGATTAAGTGACTTAGGGCATGATAGCCTTTCAATAGTGAGCAGGAAGAAATCTGTGCTCTGTCTACACTGAAACACCTTGCATCACAAACAGGCCGTGACCAAATAGCACAGAGTTTGTTCTGACCTAAAATAATACCTTCATTATTTTACATTGTGATTAGCAAATAATGACTTAGAATTAAAGAAAATATAATACTAAATCTTTGTTTCTAGTGAAAGGTAAAGTTAAAGGCCAGAGTTTCCATTTTACAAAACATATAGTAGCCTGTTTGGGGAATGTTTTGTATTATGAGCTTAATCAGAAAGTGAATAAATGCTGATGATTTCAGAGTGTTGCTTCCCAAACATTTCTCGAGGCATGGCTATAATCGATTATAGTTTTACCAAGTATGTTATTCTCTTGACCAGAAGCATTTCTCATTTAATGTTTCATTTTCTTGACCTAGGAGAGACAGGCTGGAAACCAAGTGGAAAAGAAAAAAGGTAAGGAAGATGGGTAAGTGGCTGTGAATGGAGGTTGCTTAATTTTTTTCCCCTCTTCCAGCAACTTAGAGAAAAAGGGCCAAGTGATTATTATAATCTCTCCCACAGCCCTTGTTGGGGTTTGTTGTTCCTTAGTTCTGGAATGGATTGTATTGGGGTTTCGGTGAGGCTGGGCTGCGTAGAAGTAAGCGGGCAGCAGGGTCAGAACTAATCTCTGCTCCTGATGTTTCCTCTTTTCAAGTAAAGAACCCAAAGACCCTGACCAGCTTTACAGCACGCTCAAGGGCATCCTCCAGCAGGTGAAGGTAGGTGTTGCTTTCATTTTCTTCATGCCGGTGTTTTGAAATGACTTCCCACCCAGAACAGTCATATTAGATACCTTCCTTTTCTTTCCTTTACTCAAGAGCCATCAAAGCGCTTGGCCCTTCATGGAACCTGTGAAGAGAACAGAAGCTCCGGGATATTATGAAGTTATACGGTTTCCCATGGGTAATGCCGTTAATATTTTCTAATTGTAGATGTGAAACTCTGGTTGGTGGTGTGGGGGGGACAATTGGGTGCTGACGTTGATTTGGTCTCCTCTGTGGTGGAGTGGGGGTGGGCTTCCTGTATCTGGAGGGGAGGGGCAGTTATGTTGGAATAGAATGATTAAGGGGAAGGGGCAGGTCCTGTTCCTTGGAGACAACCCACAGCTGTCTTTTAGAGCCCATGACTTGGAATCCAAGTTGGACTGACCTACAGACAGTTCCTGGATACGGACACTTGCTATTTGGACATAACCTTGCTTGTAGTCTACCTGCTTGCTGTAGATGTAAAGATACCAGGTTTTTTGATATGTTTCGAATCCATCATAAACAGCTATTCCTTTTAAGAGTTGTTCAAGGTAATACGAAAGAAGGTAGATTAAGTTGTACTTTCAGAGGGAGAAATGATAGTAACGTCTTGCTTTTTTCCCTGTTCTTCATGATACTGTTCATTGCCACATATGCTGTTATTTTAACCTTTATTCTTATCTGAAGATAAAAGATGCCTTCAAACATTCAGAATTGCAGAAACTGCTACTTGTACTTATACTATACTAAAATGCATAATTAATTGAATCAATTTAGAATTCCCAAATTCAGTCAACTTGGTATTGTGCAGATGAGAACTAGCTGAAATGAGAGCAGATTCTTTTGTTCCTCTTTTACTTGTAATCCTTTTTTTTTTTTTTTGTCAGTCATGGGGCTTGAACACAGGGCCTGGGTGCTGTCCCTGAGCTCTCTCACTCAAGGCTCTACCACTGTGAGCCACAGCTCTATTTCTCCTTTCTTGGTGGTTAATTGGAGAGAAGAGTCTCACGGGGACTTTTCTGCCTGGGCTGGCTTCATACCATGATGCTCAGATCTCAGCTTCAGCCTCCTGAGTAGCTAGATGTGAGCCACTGGCTCTCCACTTATGTTCATTTATTGCTTTCTTAGAAGATTTTTTTCTAAAGAGGTTTCTTCTCTTTTTCCCATGTTCTACGACCTCTTTTCTCTCATCTTTATAAATGGGTTTCACCTAGGGAGTGGCAAACTGCAAATTGCCTGAGTAGTCTGAGCCAAGCATGACATCTTCCTACCTGTGATTGCTAGACAGGATCTTCCTGCTCACCTACGAAAATGCAGTTCATTTCATTCTACCTCCATATTTGGGACTATCCTTCCTTCCTTCGTTCCTACATTCCTTCCTTCTTTTCTTTCTTTCTTGATGCCAATTCTGGACCTTGAACTCAGAGCCTGGCACTGTCCCTGAGCTTTTTTTTTTTTTTTTTTAACTCCAGGCTAGTAATCCAGCACTTGAGTCACAGCTTCACTTCTGGCTTTTTAGATGCTTAATTGGAGACAACAATCTCAGGATCTTCCTATTTGGGTTTGTTTTAAACCTCAGTCTTCAGATCTCAGTTCCAGTGTAGCTAGGATAACAGATGTGAGCCACTGGTACCTGGTGATACCAGTGTTTGTTTATTTTTTTTTCTGCCAGTCCTGGGGCTTGAACTGAGGGCCTAGGCACTGTCCCTGAGCTGCTTTTGCTCAAGGCTAGCACTCAACCACTTGAGCCACAGTGCTACTTCCAGTTTTTTGTATATGTGGTACTGAGGAATTGAACCCAGGGCTTCATGCATACTAGGCAAGCACTCTACCACTAAGCCACATTCCCAGCCCAGCAGTGTTTTTCTAACCCATGGTGTTTAGTCAATCAAAATAATGTAAGTGGATCAAAGAAAGAAAAATGCTATCTGTAGCATTAGAATAGAAAAATGAATTGTAATTCAGAATGGATTCTAATTCTTTTGGAAGGTCAAACTACCACTATAATTCTGGCTTTGTTTCTGCTACTAGTCTCTTCTTACTTTCCACTCACCCCTACCCCACCTAAATGTTTGAAAGGGCTTTGGTCCCTCTCTGTACTTTCCCTCCCTCTTTCCCTCATCCACTTCTTCCCTCCCTCTCTTTAAAAAAAAAATGATGTGTGTGTGTATGTATGTGTGTGTTTGTAGATTTTGATGCTTGAACTCAGGGCCTCACATTCTTATTTAGCTTTTTGAGTCTTGGCTAGTGCTCTTGAGCCACATCTCTAGTTCCATCTTTTTGCTGGTTAATTGGAGATTAGAGTCTCTTGGATTTGTCTGCCCAGGCTACCTTCAAATTGCCTTTTTAATTTGTTTTCTTCACAGAACTTAGTTGTTGGTTTATGTTTTTGGTTTTGGCTACATGTTACTTTCTTCTAAAACATAAACTTACTGGGCAGCATATCTTAAGAGATAAGAAATTTAGGGAAAAGGAATACAAACACCTGGTTTTACTTAATGAGGAATAATTTTTTATTAAGTTTTTTTAATTGTGAAAATACCATACAGAGGGGTTACAATTACATGAGCAAGGTAATGAGTACATTTCTTATCAAGCATTGTTGCCTCCTCCTTTGTTTTACCCCTACCATCCCTGCCCTCCCACCTCCATGACTACGCTCCCCACCTTCCCCCAAAATTGTAAAGTTCGTTTTTCAACATAGCATTTTGTACATCTCATTGTTGCAGTGGGTCCACCTGTATCCCTATTTAAACAATTTTTTTCCTACCCCTCCCCAAATTTTACCAACATCAAATACAGTGAAAACAGGGGTTATACCGTGGGGGAGGGACATACCAATCAACAAAACTATAGCTAAGATATGGAACCAACCCAGGTGCCCCTCAGATGAATGGATCAGGAAAATGTGGTATGTATACACAATGGAATTCTATGCCTCCATTAGAAAGAATAACATTGGCACATTTGTTAGGAAATGGAAAGACTTGGAAAAAATTATATTAAGTGAAGTAAGCCAGGCCCAAAGAAACATAGGTCCCATGGTTTCCCTTATTTGCAATAACTAGTATATGTCTGAGACAAGCAGAAACGGTTAGATAACTTGATGTTAGGCGAAATGAACCTCAAGATAAGGACACAAGTAGTTTTTCTTTCTTGCGATTGTTTCTAACATATTTATAAGGTGATTGTTTTGTTGCTTTGTTTGAGGCATAAATTTAGTCTTTCTTCCTTAAATGAGAGAACATCTTGATGCTTTCAGCCACACTTAGGTGAGATGTTTAGTAGAGGATTTGTTGAGTTTTTGTTTGTCTTAACATGTTTAGATTTTTTTTTTTTCTGTCTCCAAACTGCTTGTGTTAGAGAGAAAAGAAAAGTTAAAAGTTGAATTTACAGATGTGATGACATGAACTAACAGGGATAGGCGTTAATTAAAAGAGACAAAGAGAAACATATTTTTCCACATTTTTCCTTTGGTGTTTTGTAGTCGGCTTGAGATTTTTGGTGTAAATGAATTCATTCCCCGTTCAGGATGTGATGAGTTGTAGAGAGAGAGTGCTAGTGTATCTGGTAGCAGATTTTGTTTCCTCTGGAAAATTTGATAATATAGTGGAAATTTTGGATTTTTACAATGCTGTGAAGTTTTGACTTACTTGTATAGTTAACACAGTTACAGTTTTTGGTGATTGAGCTAGACTTAAAGACACCTGAGGACCCTTAAATAGACAAACCTTAGTATTCGGTTTGCATTGAGTTGCATAAATTTGTCCTCACCATGACGATTGAGGAAACTCCATGTATTCTAAGGGAGCGAGATCAAGCATTGTCTTCATTTGCTAATAAGTTATACGATTTAAACAAGTAGATATATTGAGAAAATATATTTCACAAGTCTTGCAAAGTTTATTTACTTTAGAAAAATGACTCTGAGGGCTGGGAAGTGGCTTAGTGGTAGCGTGCTTGCCTGGCATGCTTGGAATTTGATTTCTCAGCACCACATACACAGAAAAAGCAGGAAGTGGTGCTGTGGCTTAAATGGTAGAGTGCTAGCTGTTAGCAAAGGAAGGTCAGTGACAGTGCCCAGGCCCTGAGTTCAAGCTACAGGACTGGCAAAAAGAAGAATGACTATGAAGTTAGTCATTTTTATTTAATTGATGGAACATGAACATTTCTTTTTTACTGTTTCATGTGCTGGCACTAAAATAATTTTTTTTTGTTTTTGTTTTTGGTTAGTCATGGAGCTTGAACTCTGGGCCTGGGCTCGGTCTCTGAGCTCTTCAGCTCAAGGTGAGCACTCTACCACTTGAGCCACAGTGCCACTTCCGATTTTCTGTTGGTTTATGGAGATGAGTCTCACGGACGTTCCTGCAGGGGCTGGCTTTGAACCGTGATCCTCAGATCTCAGCTTCCTGAGTAGTTAAGATTATAGGCGTGAGCCACGGCACTCGGCTTGAAATATTTGGAATTATACCTAATGATTAGTTTTTATACTTTAGTAGAGAATTTACTTTGAACTTAGGGAAACTCAGTCCAATTGTTTAAAGTAATTAAATGATTCAATACAAATGTCTATCTGCTCTGTGTGATGAAGATAGAACCCTTGTATAATTCAGAATGAATAGCTAATAGCCGTCTGTTTACCATACTTAGCTCTTGATAATCTACTTAGCTTCCTTGTGTTCAATGGAGGATTGAACCAGATAACTAATAATGGTCCCTTTAATGATAAAGTGGATCTGATTTTGTTATAAAATCCTCTCAAAAGAATAAAGTAAGATTTAAAAACTGTTTTCTCAACCACATAGATTCTTTCCCACAGTTGGTCTTGTTTGCTTATATTAGTGCTTAGTAAGTCAAATATTGTTAATGGTTTTTTTTTTCCCTGTGCAGATCTGAAAACCATGAGTGAACGCCTCAAGAATCGGTACTACGTGTCTAAGAAATTATTCATGGCAGACTTACAGAGAGTTTTTACCAATTGCAAAGAGTACAACCCCCCTGAGAGCGAATACTACAAATGTGCCAATATCCTGGAGAAGTTCTTCTTCAGTAAAATTAAGGAGGCTGGATTAATTGACAAATGATTTCCTTTCCCTCTGCTTCTTAGAAACTCATCAGCAGTGTGCCTAAAGCAAGATGGTTTCATTTTATTGTTTTCTTTTGTTGTTGTTGTTGTTTTATTTTAAAGAACTGAATTGGAGATGTCTTTGAAGAGACTTGTAAATGTAATAATTAGCACTTTTGAGAAAACAAGACAACCTCCTGTTAGCTTTTCAGATAGGTATTTAAATTGAAGTCATAGAACATTTTTATTTGATGGAATAGATTTTAATCTATTTACTGCTAGGATGTACATTTTCTATGACAAGTCCATTAGCCCACTATTCCATGATAGAAGATCAGGGGTTTTCAGACCGTGAATGTGTCCATTTTTTTTTTTCCTAATGGAATGTGAGAGTGTAGTTTTATTTTATTCTGAAGGACTTGAAGGAGGAAATAATGATAAAAAGCCCATAAAAGGTGAAATACGTGATGTTTGAAGTCTCACCATGGACTCTACATGGATATTTTTTAAAACACTCATCTAGATGAGGTGCTCTGAGCAGTTCTGAAAAAAATTGCAGGTCCTCAACTGCAGCTGCTTTGATTCCTAAGGAAGAGATTCTAAATAATGCAAACTTTCTTTCTTTCTTTTTTTTTTTTTGTAAGCATCTGGGGTTTTGATAATTCTGTCTACATACAACAAACTTGTGAGTACTTAACCACTATTTTACTAATTCTTTACACAAATGTGAGATATCATATTTGACTTTGCTTATGCAGGACATAAGTTCAAAAAAAAAAAAGGTAATTTCCCAAGTCACAAAGGCATAAAGTTGAAAACACTTGAAATCGAGACAACATGCCTTAATAGGAAAAAGACATGTATTCTATATGTGTATCAAGTAATCTGGTGGATCCTTGTTCTAATAAGTGAGGATTTTTACTTTTTTATGACATGTGTAACTCCATTAAAAATGTGTATGTGAACATTTTTTTCTTTTTTCATCTCCAGATTATGTTTATTGTCTGAGATGAATTAAATTCCCACCGAGGGTGGTGTCAGCATTTTAACACCTAATTGCTATTCTGGGTTCAGGGTTATATCCCACTACCATCCATCATACAGTCTATTCCCTAACCTGTCTTGGGATTCCAGCTTAGTGCTTACATTTTAATCCTGATTACACTACAGAGAAAGTGTGACACCTACCATACCCCAACTCTGGGAAAACCAACTAATATACAACCATACAAATGAAGCCATCTCCACAGTGTTGACACTAATTTTTATGATGCAAATTTGTAAACTGATTTTTGTAAAGGATGAGGTTTTAAAAATGTATTTGTTTTCTATCAGCATAAATTAAAATGGGTCACGAATGTTTTTAATGAAAACAGTCACCAGAGATAGCAACATGAAGGAAATACCCGTAAAATGGCTATGAAGTTGGAAGTGTTGTTTTTGATATGTAGGAGATTTTCAGAATGCTCACAGTGAAACATGCCTCAACTTTTCCAAGTATAAGAAACTACCTTGAGTGGTGTCTTAGATTTCTAATGAAGAATGATGCTACAGTTTGGATTAAGTATCTTGGACTGGTTTTAAACAGAGCTTTGTACCAGATTTGCTGAAGCATCTGTCCAGCTCTTGGTAACCTGTGAAAGTTTGTTATTTTCTGGGTAGACATTCTTATAGAGTATTGTCTTTAAAATCAGATCGTCTCTTCTATATTGAAAGCATTTTTATGTTTTCTAATTTAAAAATTAATATTTTCTTATAGATATTGTGCAATAAAGCTGAAGTAGAATGTGTGGTTTTTGCAAATGCTTTAACAGCTGATAAAATTTTACATTTGTAAAATTAATATATTGTACTGGTACAAAATAGTTTTAAATTATATTTTGAGAAGCTCCCAATCTGGTGTGGTGTTTTTTGTTTTTTTCTTTCCTTTAATCAAGTCTGGATTTCACAGGATAAATGTATGACCTGGCATGACTGCTGACTCTATACTTAAGTCCTCAGGTGGCTAGAGTTACTGTATTAGTGGGAAGTTCCTTACAAATCTATACCCCATCAGTGTCAAGAAGATACTCATCCTCCACAGAAGAATGTTAACGGTTTCAACCTTTAAAAAATGAGATTTTTATAGTTTATTTTGCAACATAGGGATGAGCTAGAAATACAGGTTTTTAGACATCTCCCATGATCTTGTAATGTTACCTAAAATCCTATCTTATGAAATATTCTGTCCCCTGGTTTGTGAAGACCCAACACTCAAGATGACCCCCCCCCCGACTCCAGTGCAAATCTGAATGCAGCAGCAAATATATGTATGAATGAAACTGGGCAGTGGAGAACGTTACTTTCTTTTCTCTGTGGAGAGTAAACTTTTCAACACTGAACCCCAGAATGCTCTGTTGACAGCAGCTCTGCACCACTGCCATCTACCCCAACGAAGGGCAGGGTCTATGTTTTTAAGCTTAGTTCAAGTCCAGGAAAGTCAGGCACAGCGGGTGGAAGCATGTATTAGGCGTCCCCAGCACTGGAGGAAGGGATGGGGAGTAGGAAGCAGGGGCTATTAACCCAAAGCCACTTGATAGGTTTGTTTCTATTTAATTCATAATTAAGCAAATGTCTCCCAGGCAGGACTGAATGAGGGGGCAGTGGGAAGCTAGATGATGGATACAAGGAAACTTCTGGAAGTTACTTTACATCCCTACTCCATATATCTATTAAGCATTTGCACATTTTCCTTGTTCATTACTCAGCCAATAAAACCTTTTAAATGGCCACTTAGTAAAACAAAATGGTGAAGATTTTCAGGTTTCATTTTGCTTGGCAGTAACGTTTGCAATTTTAGACACTCAGAAGTAGAAACAAGATTGGACTGTGGATAAACATATGATTTATTACCCTTCAAGCTGGTATTGATTGGCAGTAGTCTGTGGTTGGAATGTAAAGACTTGTCTACCATAGTGGTCATTTGGGTAGCTCCCAGTTTATAGTAAGGATGCTACTGTCACTCGTGTAAGTCTTTTGACTAACAAATACTTTTATGTAAATACCTAGTAGAATTCAAGTCACAAAGTTGATATGGACTAATTTTATAGGGAAACATGTAGTTATTGGCATTAACATCTGAAGGTTTGTCTTTGGTGAATATGTGTATTTGAGACAGGGTCTGGTTAGGTGTATCCTGTGCTGGCCTCACACTTGCAATCCTCCTGAGTAATGGGATTATAGTCATGTATCACACCCAATCTCTTAAAGCTTCTTCCCCACCCTTGTAGTTGTAGCATTCACTGCTAACCATTCCTTCTACGTTTTACATCGACAAGTTTGTCTTTAAGTTACATAAATGTCTTCTCATACCCGTGTTATTTACTTTTTTTGTGGTGATGGGGCTGGAATCAGATCTTGCATGCATGCTTGCATGTTTTACCACTATATACCCCTGGCCAATAATCTTATTACTAATAAAAATTACTGAACAGGATGAAGGAAAGACTGTAACATCCATTTTGATGCTAGATACCAATTCCCAAGACTTCAAGATCAAAATTTCTTAAGTGTAGCTGTATGTGAATTCACCTTAGAGTTCCCCATTGAAGCCACATTTCTCCGTTTTTCCTACAAAAAACAATGCTGCAGATTTAGGTACCTCTGGTTTTTTATACTCCATTATAAAAAGGCATTTCTTCCACATTCTCGATAACCATAGTGCTACTATAAATTAGAAATGCCAGCTTTTAGGGTTAAAGTCTATGAAGAGAAGAAATGTAAGTGGAAGAAAGGCAGCAGGAGGGAAATCAGAGGTAATCAGTGTGAGGTGAGAGCTGGTGTGCTGTGGGGATTAGGAGATGAGGTCACGAAACATAGGTTAGGAACCTGCATCTTAGTATTGAGGTCCAAAAGAGCTATAGATTATTCACTGTGGCACTAATTTGTAAACGATGAAAAAGTGGCAACAAACTGTCAGACAATGCATCAGTCAAGTGTGGTTTATTTACATAATAGTATACAACTATGAAAATACATCTACCAGCATGGACAACCCTCAAAAACAGATTAAGGCCACTGAAGGTAATATATACAGTGCAGCTCATATAAAATGTTAAAACACAAGACAATACTCAACACTCTACAGATACATACACAACACTGAAAATACAAAATCTACCAGGGGTTTTTCAGAAATGGTTGACTAGGTCTGAAAGAGGGTGAGAATCAAAGCTACATCAGGGAGTTTTGAAACAGTAAAATGCAAACAAACAATGGTGTGGAGCAAGAAGTGGCAATCTCTTTTAAAGACAGGGTCTAGCCCAGGCTGGCTTCAAGTCATGATCCTTCTGCCGTACCCCCGTCAGTTGCTGTGTAGCCTCTCTACAGTTCATTTTCATGAAATTAAAGAATAGGTATAAAAGCAGCGGTTGAAACCTGTAAGGAAGCCAGGCACCAGTGGCTCCTGTAATCCTAGCTACTCAGGAGAGTGAGCTCTGAAGATCATAGTTTGAAGTCATCAGGGGCAAGAGTCTATGATATTCTTATCTCCAATAAACTAGTCAAAAAAAGTTGGAAGTGGTGCTATGGCTCAAATGGTAGAACCCTAGCCTTGAGGCAAAGAAACTCAAAGACAATGCCCAATGCTAGAGTTCAAGCCTTAAGACTGGCAAAAAGGAAAGGAAAGGAAGGGAGGAAGGAAAATCATAAGAATAAGGTTGGTGAGAGACTAGGGCAATAGGAAGTAAGGATCAGTGATGGAATGCAGATTTGTAACAGATTAAGAATGGCCATCTTGTACATTTAGACAAAAAAAATTTTTTTAAGCTCTTTAGCTTAAGGCTAATGCTCTACCACTTGAGCCACAGCGTCTCTTTGGGTTTTCTGGTGGTTTATTAGAAATAAGTCTCACGGACTTTGCTGCCCAGGCTGGCTCTGAACCTCCAGCGCCCAGGGCTTTTGATCCTTTTAGTGATTTGAAGTTTAAAAAGGTATATATTAAGTATACATGTTAAAATTTCTAAATTAATTCTCATTGGCTGATTAAAAATAGCCCTTAATATTCACACATCTAAGATGTCTGACTAAAGAGCTTTTCTAAAAGTCTGTAACTTGTGATTTTGCCAAGCAATCATTGAACAACATACACTTAGGGCTCATAACCAGTCACTGAACCTAAATAACCAGTGATTCTCTAATCATGATCCTACAAATGTATTATCTGAAAACTTACATGCAACAGTGGTGCTAGGCTTGGTGGCACATGCCTGAAATCCCCACCTAGGAGGTTGACACAGGACAATTTTAAGTTTGAGGCTAGCCTGGACTACACAGCAACATCTCGGACAAAACCAAGATTAAAACAAACCCAATAGTGGCACATAAGGGATCCACAAAACTTTACCTGGGAGTACCAAGGATTTTTTTTTCTATTCAAAAATTACATAAGGAGTTTCAAAAGATTCTCATCTTACAAAGTTCTTTACTATAGTATACTTATCAGCCTATGCCTTTAGGAAAAAATAGGCAGATTAATGTAATTTTGTAAAACACAGCTGTTTTGAAGTAAATAGCACAAGAATTCTAAACAATTAAAAAGTATTGTTTTGAAGACATCTTCATGATTTAGTGTCTTGTTAACAAAATATTCAAATATTCTGTTCTATCCACCTGTGTACTATTTCACAGATTCTCTATGTAAGCAATAGAAAGAAGGGGGTAGAGGATAAATTTAAATAGCATCCAACGTTTTTTGTATTTGCTTCGTACTTTTCTTAGAACGTCTCAAATCTTTTTTCTGCTTGAAGATGGGCGAATTCAAGAAACACAAATCTGTAAAAGGATCCCCTCTTCTTAGTTTCCTACAAGGGTTAAAAAGATGTTAAGCATAATTCCAAGTATCCTGTGTTAACTCATTATAAAGTGTTATCAGAACTACCAGTTTTAGTGTTCTTCCTTTTCTGTGTATATGCCAGTACTGAAGCTTGAACTCAGGACCTCATGTTCTTGCTTGGCTTTACTGCTCAAGGCTGGTGCTTTACCATTTGATCCATACGTCCACACATGGCTTTTAGCTGACTAACAAGATAAAAGTCTCACAGACTTTCCTATGTGGGCTGGCTTCAGACTGGGATCCTCGAATCTCTGCCTTGTAGCTAGGATTACAAGTGTGAGCCATTTATGCCTGGCTGTTTCTTTTAATCAAACTTTAAAGCTTAATCTATGACTCAATCACTCATTTTGAACAGGTCCTCCCCAAACCATATACTTACGAAGCTAATGTTGGTTCCTTGTAGCTCACCATGGTGGCACACCTGCGCTTAGGAAGAGACTGTGCTGTGCTTTCTATATTCCGTTTTGGAGAAAGAGAAAGTCTCCTGATTTTGACTACAGGATATAAGGGGACATTGGTGATCTCCTTCAGGCTACAGCGGGGTGTCTGGGGAGCCTCTGGAGGTGCACCTACAAAAAATGACTGTTATCAAGTAGTTCCAAGAAAAAAACCACAGGAATAAAATTATAATTATATAATCTAAATATACACAATCTGGCACTTTAGATTTGTGAAGGAAAAAATGTTTCCCTTTTTATCTCCCCCCCCCACACAATTATAAAGGTGGTATACAGAAAGGTTACAGTTAACAAGTCAGGTAAAGAGTACATTTCTTTTTGGACAATGCCACCTCTTCCTTCATTCTCTCCCACTTTTTCCCTCCCGTCTCCACCCACAAGATGTACAGTTCATTTTCCATAGAGTGTCTAGTGAGTACCACTGCTACATTTTTTCACCCTTTGTCCTCCATTTCTGTGCCTCCCCACCCTACCCCCTTACTCTTCCAAAGACAGATAACACAGATAACACAGAAAAAACCTCCAGCTGGGAATGCTTGCTTAGCATGCATGAAGCCCTGGGTTTGATTCCTCAGTACCACATAATCAGAAAAAGCCAGAAGTGGCACTGTGGGTCAAGTGCTAGACTGTTAGTCTTGAGCAAAAGAAGCTCAGTGCCCAGGCCCTAAGTTCAAAACCCAGGACTGATAAAAAACCCAAAAAACAAACAACAAACCCTCATTTTCATTTCCTGGAATAAATTTAGACAAATATTTTATATGACCAGCAGCACATAGGCATTGCACCTTTGTGTTACAGAATTTAGAATTACATTTGAAATAGATACAAAATCTGGCATTTCATAGGTTTTTAGAACTTCTCCTGTAATCCTAGCTGCTCAGGAGGCTGAGATCTGAGGATCAAGGTTCAAAGACAGGTGGGGCAGGAAAGTCTCTAAGATTCTTATCTTCAGTTAAACACACACACACACACACACACTGAAAGTGGAAGGATCAAGGTTCAAAGACAGGTGGGGCAGGAAAGTCTCTAAGATTCTTATCTTCAGTTA